GAGGATGAGCCTGTGTCAGCGGTTCCCAGCAGGGATGGAAGAGGCAATCCGCTCGGCTGGGGGTCTGCAGAGAAAACGCTGGAGATGCCTGAAAACGTCCAAAAGCTTTTCAGGAAACTAAGAGTGGAGTAGAGAAGAGTGCAAGAAAGTGAAGGGGGTGCCTCAGGGGCAAAACTCGAGAAGCTGAGAAGTATAGGGGGCTCAAAGGCGAGTCCCGCTGGGGAACCCGACAGTCCCACAAGAAGGGAGGGGACAGGAACAGCAATCTGGAGTCGGAAGAAGCCCTAAGAGCCTGAAAGACGAAACAGATGGGGAGAAGGGAGGGCAGGAGGTGATGAGCGGGGACAGCGAGCGGGGGAGGCCCGGGACAGAAAGGAGAGTGCGAGTAAGGCCTGGGGGAGGGGCAGGGGGAAGGAGGGGGGCTCGGAGGGTCCTGGGCGGGTCTGACCGGCACCGGCAGCGAGGGGCACCTGGCCATCCCGCAGGCGGCAAAGGCGTCAGGTGGAAGAAGAGCCCGTCCGGATCCTGGCGACCCGCTCCAGAGCCACCGCCCCTGCCGCGCCGCGCGTGCGCACCGCGTCTCCGGGGTGGAAAAGACGGTGCCAGGGTCGCGCGTCGCCCGGGGCAACGCCATCCTCCCGGTGGAACCGCCCGGTCAATGGGGGTTGAGGAAGGGGGGCGCTCGGGGCCCAGAAATTCCGAGGGCGGGGGGGGGAGCCGAGGACTATCGCGCAGGCGCCAGGGTGCGCAGACGCAGTGGCCTCCCTGGCCCGCCACACCCAGTCGTCGCTCGCGCGCGGCGTCCGTTGGTGCGACGGCCGACCAGGCCTCGGGACCCGATGAGCGGAGGGCCGGAAGGAAACGCCGTCCCCGCCCGCCCGCCCGCCGCTCCCCACACCCACCTCAGCCGTTCGCCCCCTAGATTCGTCAGCAGCGGCCCAAGGCGACAGCGACACGGCCGCAGAACTGCTCGCGACCCGGCAGGTTCTTGTCTTCCTTGGGCTTCGACGTTCTGACCGCGGCGTCCTGACGTCACACGGAGGCCTCGCCCCACCTCCCTCGACACTGCACAGCCAATGGGCGCCGTGAGCTTGATTGGAGCCCACCTCCCCGCTTGCGCAAGGACGCGTGGGCGTTTAAGGCAAGCCGGAAGACTGGGGTGGGGACGGTGGCCCCGAGGGGACATGCGCGGTGGGACCGGCGGGCGCTGTACCCGCACACGCAGCCTTGTCTTGGCTCAGTGAGTGGTAGCCACGGTTGTTTGCAGACACAGACTAGCGTGAGGAGGGATGTAAGACTACCTGCCGCACAGCTCGGGAAGCCCGGGGCAGGGAATGGTGAAGTCGAAGAAAGGGGGTGAGAACAGCCTCCGGGAAGGGGAGCTCCCCGAGTACAGGAAACGGCAGGACGTCCCCGGCCGCGAGCGCATGCAGACACACGGGGGCGGGCGACGGGAAAGGCCTGGGGACCCCCGCCGGAGCACGGGGGCAGCAGGTGGCCGCGGCGGGGTAAACGCGTGCAGGGTCCTGGGCTGAGCCGATGGGTCTGTACAGGTGGGCAGGTGGTACACCTCGGAAGGGCACTAGTGCCAGGCTGGGGAATGCGCACCTGGCAGGTGGCAGTGTGCCCTGTGTCTCATCCGGGATCCTGACCGATGGCACGATCCAGTCTGGCTCCGGTGTTTCCATCCGGGATCCTGACCGATGGCACGATCCGCTTTGGCTCAGGGACCGCTCAATGTACTCATAGTAAGCAGTAGAATAATATTTCAGAAGCTGTTTCCCTCCGTTTTTTACTACTAGAAGTCGTTATGTTGATGACTGCGTATCATTTTGTTAACTAGCACAGTTGATCTTTTTCTGTCTTTTCACTTTAAAAAGAAAATTACTTGTTTTAGGTGAATTGGGGGTTTACAAAAACGTTGCAAGGACAATTTAGAGTTCCGTGTATCCTACACCCGTTTCCCCTTAATGCTGGTATCTCGCATTATTGCAGTACACTTGCTAAACCAAGAAATCAACATTGGCACGTTAGTGGTTAACCGTAACCAACTTTATTTATTTTCTAAAACTGCAGCTTTATCTGATTTTTACTGTTTCCACTAAGGTGCCCTTTATGTGCTAGAGTGTAATCCAGAGTACCCAATTGCATTTAGCATTCCATTGCTTTTTTTAAGTTTATTTTTGAGAGCAAGTGCAAGAGCGTGCATACTTGTAGGGGAGGGGCAGAGAGGGAGAGAAGGAATCCCAAGCAGACCCCAAGCTGTCAGCACGGAGCCCCCCGTGCCGGGCTCCATCTCACAAAGTGTGAGATCATGACGTGAGCGAAAATCAAGAGTCAGACACTTAACTGAGCCACCTAGAATCCCTTTACTTTTAACCATTATATTTAAGGTGGGTTTCTTCCTTCCTTCCTTCTTTTTCTTTTTTACCCAAGTGAACAATCTCTGCCTTCTAAAAGAGATGTTTATAACAGCACTTTTAACATGATTATTGGTATGGTTATCTTCATACCTGCATCTTGCTATGGGGTTTCTTTTGGTCCCTACTTTGTTTCCCTTTTCTCCTTTTTCTGCTGCCTTCTGGTTTGAGATTTTTTTTAATAGGCTTTTTTAGAGCAGTTTTAGGTGGTGCCTTTGGGAGGTGTTCTGCCTCTGTCCCTCTTGACTGTCCTGTGGTCAGACTCTGATGACCATGAGCTGTCGTGATTTCAGGGCTCACCTGGCTGTTTTCCAGGGCAGGGATCACTCTCCTTTGCCTGATGCCGAGTCTTGAGCCCTTTTGTTTCATGTATTTTGTGTGGCCTTTTGGTTGTTTCAGGAAGGAGAGAAAATCTAGTCCCTGTTCCTCCCTCTTGGTTGGAAGCCAAAGTCCTCCTATGTATGATTTTAAAAATAAAGTTATATTTCTCTTTTGTAAAGGTTAGGCAACATGGCCTTCTCTCTTGGTTAAAGCTTCCAGGTTAAGGTCATCCCCAGGCCGGTTGGCTGGAAATCAGGCGGCCTGAAATCTCAGGCTACTTTTGGAATCTGCAACACATCATGGGGACGCTTCATCTTGAGGGCAAGGACTCAAGGTCGCCAGAGGGTGGCGTTTGAGATCAAAGCAGCCCGAGTAGCTGCGGGCAGGCCCCTGGGTCAGCCCCCTCAGCTGGCGGTCCAGAGGAGAAAGTGAGTCAACCCCTGCAGGGCTCCCCCCCCCCCAAGCCCCTCCCTGGAAGCTGCAGTCGGTTTCAGCGTCCCAGCTTCAGGCCAGTCCACCCTGAAAGCTTCCTCGCAGTGCACAAGATGGAAGCGATTAGCAAGACAGTTCCTCCGGGCAAGCCCTGCACTGGGTACCTGACATCCGGCATTCTGGGCCGAGAGGCCCTGACCTGAGACCCTCAGGTTTGTGTTTTGAGCTTTAGGATTTTTCACGGTTTCGAGACGCAACATGGTTCATATTCCACACAGTGCCCGGGACCATCAGCACCCTGCATGGCACTTGGCAGTGACCCCGTCCGTGTCGCTGGAGAGCAGAGATGAACGTTCACGCAGGCAGGGGGACTAGGCTGTTTTTGCCACCCGGTGAGTTAGGGGAGACTTGTGGTCTAGGAGAGCTGTGAATTTTGGAATCGCAGAGGAGGGCCTGGGGACCTGTGCTCTGTACCGCGCTCTGGTGGATGTACCACCTCATCTGGTGGATGAGGCAGCTGAGCTCCAACAGGTCAAGTGCCTGCCCACAGCCGTCCGATGGTAAGTAAGTAGCAGGCAGGGCCCTGAGTCATGGCCTGCACATTTGTCCACTCTGCTGCCACTGCCTGTCCCGCCCAGCTCAGTTCTCCCCTTTCTTAGGCCTTCCCTAAAGTCCCGAACCTAGCCAAAGGCTGTCGTGTGCCAGAGAGCCCAGCAGTTCAGTGATTTATTGGACTCGCCCTCTTTCTGTGGCCTTCGCTCAGAGTTCAGCTGGAAGTCAAAGATTTGTTGCAGCAGACAGCCCTTAACATACTTGTTTACATTTAGACGCCTCTGCTGTCCTGTGCAGCGAATCCCCAAAGCAGGCCTGCCTGGTCAGAGAGGCTCTACTGTTTTGATTCGATCACGCATGAGCAGACTTTGGTCACGGCGGCGATTCCCAGTGTCCAGAGCCATGGGCCAGGTGCCCCGTGTCCACAGCCTCGCCAGCAGAGAATCTTGGCGCCGGCTTCCTGTTAGCACCACCGACACATGATGGGAAACCGTTCCTGCTTGTTTTCAAATCGCACCTCCTAGTGATTAGGGTTTGAACATCTTTTCCTCTGTCCACCGGTGTTGGGACATTCATCTTAATTGCTTATTTTCAAGTCAAGTTGTCTTTTTCTTAGTTTATGGAATCTCTGTAGGTTATATTTATGTAGTAATGATAACCTATTTCTTTGCCATATGTGTTGAAAGGAGTTTCTTCTAGACTACTAATTGGCTTTATAGCACATATACATATATTTTTAGTTCCACAATTTGTTAAATAAATTACCTTTTCTTTTCTAGTTTTAGAGGATCTTGCTGAAAATCCTCCCCTTCCAACCAAGGTATACCAGATACAGAATCTCCTACTACTCTCTGAAATACTTCTGCCCCCTCCCTAGTCTACATTTAGATTTTTTCCTGTCTTGTACGTAGAACGTTTTCTTCCAGATGGGGAGCCACTGTGTCCACAGATCTTTGAAACCAAGCAGCCCCTTCACTCTGACGACGTCTGTCTTCTATCCTATACGTACACTCAGATCTATTTCTGGGTTGTCTGTTCTGGTCCAGGGATAGCTGTCTCTTCCTGGGTCAAGACCTGCATCCTGCTTTTAGAGTCACGCAGAAAAAGTTGTTATCATCATCATCACCATTATTTAAAGTAACAATGCCTTTGGAACTGCTCCAGAGCCTGGACAGAAACAGAAATGCCTGTCAGCTAGGAGGCTGCCGTGAAGGGGTCTCCTGGGCCCCAGCCAGGAGGCCAGATCAGGGAGGAGAGAAATAAGGAGCCAGCTGCTTGTAAAATAAAGTTTTCCCTTTTATTTCAAATCAACCCATTCCCAAGTTAGTGCTGCAAGTGGAGGTCACGGCCCTGAGCCCCCTGGGGCCGGGCTCTTGTGTCCCTGCAAGGGTGGGCCTAGTGGCCAGGGTGAAGGGTGTGTGTCTCACTGGCCACCCTTCCCTGCCAGCCCCAGACCCCGGCCTGCCCCCTCAGTAGGGGCATGTGGTAGAGGTGCTGTTAGTGGTGAGAGCCCAGTGAGGCTGGGTCAGTGGGGTCTTCTCCGGCCGCCAGGGAAGGAACCAGAGGGAGAGGCAGACACGGGCTGATGGAGACGGCAGGGCCACCCCGGTGCCCAGAGTCCCAGAGTGAGGGACAGGAGAGCAGCGGCAGCTCCGGGAGCCAGGGTGTCGCCCTCTGGAAGCTCACTGGGGTGGGGGTCACGGGCTCAGTCCGGCGTGGAGGAGGGGCTCAGATAGATGACTGCCACTGCACGAAGCGTTTGGATTCCTGCAGGGAGATTGGGGAGGGGGCAAGAAGGGGGTCTGGGCCTGTGGTGCAGGCCCCCAGCCCCTCCCCCAGACTCGCAGGTCCACTACCTGAGGGTTGAAAGGGTCATCATCATCTGTGTCGTCATAGTCATCACTGAGTGGCAGAGAGGCAGGATGGGGGACCATCAGGAGGCTCCCCAGCATGAGCAGTGGCCCAGAGGGTCTGCCCCCAGCACTGCTCCCAGGACCAGGCCCTCACTCCCCTCCTGACGTGGGTGGGAAGAGGGCCCAGCCCCCCACTGCTGCCCCCCATGTCACCCCCTCCCCTCCTGACATGGGTGGGAAGAGGGCCCAGCCCCCACCACTGCCCCCCAATGTCACCTCCCCTCCTGACCTGAGTGGGAAAAGGGCCCAGGCTCCCACCACTGGCCCCCCATGTTGCCCCCTCCCCTCCTGACCTGGGTGGGAAGAGGGCCCAGCCCCCACTGCTGCTCCCCCCAAGGTCACCCCCTCCCCTCCTGACCTGGGTGGGAACAGGGCCCAGCACCCACCACTGCTCCCTCCACATCACCCCCTCCCCTCCTGACCTGGGCGGGAAGAGGGCCCAGGCGCGGGGCAGGCTGCAGAGGGCGGTGGCTAGGGCCCCCGCAGACAGGAGGGAGAAGAGCAGCAGGAAGAGCAGGCCTTCCAGGGCATCCTCACACAGGCCCCGAAGGGCAGCGCCGTAGTCCTGGGGTGGGCGGGGGAGGGCGTCAGCAGGCAATGCCCCCCCCACACACACAGTGTCACCATTCAGACGGTTCACCTGCCTGGGCCCTGCTGGACAAGTCACCCAACCTGTCTGTGCCTCAGTTTCCTCCCCTGTCATCTAGACTCAGTACAAGCACACTGGAGGTGCTCCAAGCACAGTGATTATTGTGCCTGGAGGTATAAACCCAAATCGTGGCCTCCTCTCCAGCCGCCACCCCAGCTCAGCTCCCATCTGCCGTGGGGCTGCCCTGTGGACTGGAGGGTGTTGGGCAGCCTGCCCAGGCTCTACCCAATAGATACCAGTAGCACCCCACACCTCCCCGGTTGTGACAACCCAGACATGTCTCCATGCACTGCCAGATGTCCCCTGGGGGCGGGATCTCTGGCTCAGAACCACGCTTAGAAGAGCCACAGACTCAGAATGGCACCTGGCACGTGATGAGGTCATTTCAGATCACAGGAAGCCGAGAGGGGACCAGAAGGCAGTGCCGGGCCCCAGCAGCGGCAGCGGGGACCGATCCAGGCAGGAGGGCCCTGGAGCTGTCTGAGGGGTGCTGTGGCCTGTGCAGGAGGGGTGTGAGGGCAGAGACTGGATCAGCCTGGCCCCCTGCAGGTGAGGTGTGGAACTGGACTTTAATCCGCGTGCAGGAAGAGTCGCTGGAGGGTTTTAGCCGAGAAAGAACTTGATCGGATTGTGTGCGAGAGGCTCACCCAGCTGCTAGCTCTTTCAGGGAGGACAGATGGGGGATGGGGGACAAGCAGGGGGCAGGGGAAATGGGCAGGAGGTGAGGGGGTGAGCAGGGTACAGCACAGGCAGAGTGAGCCGTGCTCGGAGTCCACATGGGTCTCAGCAGAACTTGCCTGGGGAATGACTACGGGCGGTAAGGACAGACAGCAAAAAGGATGCTCGTAGGTTTCTGGCTTGAGCCCCTGGGTGTGGGGCAGGGGTGCCGGTACTGAGTCAGTGTAACCCAAGGGAGGGCCCTGTCAGAGCAGTGGGCCATTCCGTTTTTACTGTATCAGGCACCTGTCCTCACATTGCTGCCTCCTGCAGTGGCAGAAAGTTAAAGCCGAGAGAGCACAAGCCACTTAGCCAGAGTCACACAGCCTGCAAGGGGCAGAGCTGGGATTGGAGCCAGGTCTGTGAGGCTCCAGAACCACCCTCCTGGCACTTTATCCCTGATGCCCCTCAATCCTGATTTTAATATGTGGAGACCCTAAAGTCCAGAGAGGGGAAACTGAGGCCAATGGTCACATGGTGCACCAGGGGAGGAGGAAACTCTAACCCACCGTCCTCCCTCCCTCCCTTTGCTCTGTCCACAATGAACCTTGGGAAGTGCAGTCCAGCCCAGTGTTGGCCTGGACCATGGAGAAATCTGTGGGCCCCGGTTTGCCCTTAAATGGAAAATTGGGGCTACTTTCTAGGATTTTGCAGCTCAGGTGTCCAGCAACTCTGAGCATTGCTTCATTGCCACCCCCCACCCCCACGGCTCCCTTGTCAGAATGCTGACCTCCGAAGCTTTGGGGACAGTGCGACCCATGGAAGGGATGTGATCACAGCAAGGGCCAGTTCAGATCCCTGATAGGGTTTCCGGAACAAAGGCAGGATGCCCACTTAGATTTGAATTTCAGATGCCTGACAGCAAAAGCTTTTAGTACCAGCGCCTTCCCAACATGGACAGGACATACCTAACAGTAAAGCGGTTATTTGCGGTTTGGTACGTCTAGCAGCCCTGTTGAGGGCCCGTGGGGGGGACACACCACAAGGGCCGAGGAGGCAGGTGTCCTCCAGGGGAGAAGAGGCCTGAGCTGCAGATGGGGGTGGGGTGAGGAGGCGAGGGCATGAGGCTGGGTGACCGCCTGGCTGTGGAGGCTCACAGAGGGAAAGGAAAGAAGATTCTGGGGCACCCAGCCCTCTGCAACCCATCTTCCACGGCCGTTAGATGGGGGCGATGACAGCATTTCCTTCTGATGGGCCGCGTGACGAATGAGAGCTCAGGGAGCCGCCACCTGTGATGCACGCACACGGCAAAGCCCCGTGTAGGGGAAGGACAGGGTCCTGCGTAGGAAAGCAGGTGTCCTCTCCCTCCTTTGACGGGGGCGGGAACCCGAGACTCAGGGACGCTCACCTGCCAGCGCCACACAGCTGCGGCAGAGCCCAAAGTAGACTGAGCTTGTAGGACACCAGCCATTCGTTCTCTAGGGTGCCCTGCCCACCCCTGCTGCCTCAGTACGGTGAGACCACACGCCCCCCATGAGAGCTGTACGGCTACTGACCCCCTGCAGCCCCGGCTTCATAAGCGAGGAAACTGAGGCACAGAGTAGGTAGTGACTTGTCTGAGGTCAGGAGCTAGGACTGGAACCCAGGCAGGTCTCGCTCCAGAATTCCCTAAGCTGCACAGGCTCGAGGAGGAAGGCAGGGAGGGAGGGATGAGTGGGGCTAGCGGGAAGGAGGAGTATAGACGATAGATAGGTGGTAGGTAGGTAGGTAGGTAAGTAGGTAGATAGAGAAGAGCTACAGGGAAAATAAATAATAGAGATAAACGTAAGGATTTCTCGGGGTCAGTGGGAGAAAGACCAGAGGGCTCCCTGGAAGAAGAATTTGGACAGGGGGACAGGGCTCACCTTGTGCAGGCCGCGACAGTGCAGCAGAGCCACCAACTGGTGGAAGTTGCCTTCTGTCATATTGAGCGTCTCCTCCAAGGACAGCAGAGGCTCCTGCACGGGAGTGGAGTGTTACCCCACACGCTCCTAAAGCTGCGCGGGCCCGGGCTCCGCCCCTCTCGGCAGGCCCCGCCCGCCGCCCCGCCCCCTTCCCGGGTGGAAGTCCCGCACCTGCGCGGGGGGGGGGGGGCGCACCTGCGCGGCAGGGAACTGGGGGACCGCTTCCCGCTCCAGGCCTTGCAGCTGCGAGTGGATGTTGGCCAGAGCTCGCTGGGACAGCGTCAGCCTCTGCGGAAGACAGAGCACGGCCGGGTGGTCGGCGCCCTCTCCCGGCGCCTGCGTCCGCCCCCAGAACCTGCAGTCCGGGCCCCAGCCCGCCCTCCTCCGCCCGGCTCCGCCCGGCTCCCTTGCCCGCACCCCTAACCTGTTGAAAGGGGTTGGAGACTGCCTGGTTGCAGAGGAAATAATAGTTCAGGATGTCTGAAGCGGGAGGGAAAGAGGGGGGAGGCCATGAGCCTGGGTCCCCAGCGCCTCCCTAGGGGGAAGGTGGGAAGGGGGGCCTGTCTCTCCACCCTCAGGGCCAGGGCCTCTCCCCAGCTCAGGACCCTCCCGTGGTCCCAGTGGCCTGGCATCCAGGGACAGGCTAACACCCTCCCTTCTCCTCCAGCCACAGTCAGAGACTCGCGGGCCACACTCTCCCGGAACCCGTTCTTCCGCAGTCCTGTCCTTGACTAAGCTGGGCTCCCATCTCCTCCCTCCTGGGGAGGCGGCCCAGCCCTCCCCTGGTCTCCCCTCTCCTGATTCCAGCTTCTGTGTCCCTCTCTTTTGCAGCCCATCCGGAGAGGTGCTGCGAGCCTCCGAGACTGAGCGCAGGCGGGACAGGGCACGGAGGCCTGAGGACCCAGGGCCTTGCGGGGTTGATGGGATCACCTGAGTCGAGCCCAGTCTCCTCCTGGGTCAGGTTCAGGATGTAGGTGTCAGGACTGGAGCAGAAGTCGCTGAGGCCCTGACAGAAGCATAAGGAAAAAGTGCTCAGGCCAGAAACTGCTCCAGTTCCACACTCGCACAGAGCTCAGTGTTGGGATAACAGCCCAGCCCCTAGCCCCTCCTCCCTCAGACCCGGGAGTCCAGGCCCCCAGCCCCTCCTCCCTCAGACCCAGGGGTCCAGGCCGCCAGCCCCTCCTCCCTCAGACCCGGGAGTCCAGACCCCCCACCCGCCCCTCCTCCCTCAGGCCCGGGAGTCCAGGCCCCCAGCCCCTCCTCCCTCAGACCCAGGGGTCCGGACCCCCAGCCCCTCCTCCCTCAGACCCAGGAGTCCAGGCCCCCGGCCCCTCCTCCCTCAGACCCGGGAGTCCAGACCCCCCCACCCGCCCCTCCTCCCTCAGACCCGGGAGTCCAGACCCCCCACCCGCCCCTCCTCCCTCAGACCCGGGAGTTCAGACCCGGGAGTCCATACCCCCCACCCGCCCCCCCCCCCTCAGCCCACATCGGCAGAGCACACGCCCGAACCCCAGTCACATTACTCGAGCCCGTACGCCGTCCCCCGCCTGCAACAAAC